TCGATAGGCCCAGGTTGGGCGGAGGTACCCCGGAGGAGCTGTCGTTAGAGGCCACCTAGCCGACAACGCTGAGGTCAATTGAGTCTAATCATGACATTCATTTCGATGCATCGGTATCAGCATTATCAAAGGTATTAACGAGGTGGAATCAAGCGCTCTTCAAAATAATGAAATCAAAGTAACAGGCATTTTTCTGGGAGTTGGCATTTTTTGTTCAAATGTTCTCCTTTTTTTTCAAAGACATTCAAGCTTTCTTCTTTTTTTTCTTTTCTTCTTTTTTTCTTCTTTTTTTTGGGGGGGGGGCGCGGGGTCATCACTTTTTATGTCCTTTAAAAACAAATTTCTGTATGGATGTTATACGGGGTGCCCACTACGGATGGGATCGGGCCGATCGCCCGACTCGATCGCCTAAAAAACAAACGTGTTTGTTTTCACTTTCAGGCGATCGAGTCGGGCGATCGGCCCCATCCAGCCGTAGTGGGCACCTCGTATAACAGACAAAAACAAAAAAAAGAGTAAATTTCCAATTTTCAAGGACACTCAAGCTTTGGAAGTCACCAAACTTTGGCAGCCATTTTCTCGCTAATTGTACCTCTCACACCTGGAGACCCCCCACCTCCTTCAATCGCAAATATTTCGACTTCTTTTCAAGATAGATGGGTATTTTTTTTTCGCCAAATACAAGAAAAATAAACACGTTTCAAGATGATATTTATAACTCGATGTGCCCAAAAATTGACGAGCGCTGATTCCACCGTGTTGCAACACTTATACATGTACTACAAGATAGTTCACTCCACTCTTTGAACAAGTAAGAACAACGTCCTCTAAGTCTATCGCGACGCCACCTGAGAAAAAACACGGACTTGGAAAACTGCTGACTTTGTTACCAGTGACGTCTGATTGTGGTGGGTTTTGCAATTTGAGACCCACCTGGGTTTTTCAGCAGAAACTTATTTCTGCTGATTAAAATCAAAACAAAACATTTAACTAGAGTAAAAAAGGAACAAAACATTCCCCGAAAAAAGCGTCACATCAAGATAAGACCAAAACGAAACTTCAGAGGCATAACACGTAGAGTAATCTGATTGGTCTGGGTCTAGGCTATCTGAGAAGATCTGGGTGTGAAGGCCACTGCACTACTATTTACTCCATCCCCTCTTCCTTGCGTGCATTCCCCCACCCCGCCCTCCCACACAACGTGGCCCAGCCCTATAAGATTCTATAAAAAGAAACACTGCAGTTCGCGAGTTTAGACCATAGTCGGCGGCCATATTTACTCCCCACCTCGGCGTGCCGCTCGTGGCGCCGCGAAGAGAGAGAAAGGAGGGTCCATTTGTTCTAAGCTCCTTGGATAACGTATCTCTCTCTCCCTCTCACTCTAACTCTGTCTCACTCACTTTTTCCTCCAACCTGCCTCTCTCCTTCACTATCTTTCCTCCTCATCCTCCACCCCCTCCTCCTCCTCCTCCAGCAGGCTGCTGTAGTTATAAAGTCTCAAAAGGCCTGAGTAAAAAGTAAAGTTGTTCCCGCATCCGGTCCGGACATTGGGGATTGCCTTGTTAGTGAGACAACTTCCTGGGCCTTCGGTATATCGTTGTAGGGTGGCCAGTTCCTTTCCACGCCGCCTTTACTTCCCCAATTCGAAGTCCATTTGTTCTTGGTTGTATTTACTACTCTATCCAATCAGACACTCTCTTTGTCAAGAAAAGTGAACAAATTCACCGCTGCGGTCCTGGAGCCCCTGCTCATAGGTTCCCACAAACTGGATCATCATCAACGCCTTTCTCACCTAGGCCACGAACAAACACTCTCCACCTTTTCCTATCCTGGGCTAGCCGCTTGATGTCTTTCCATGTCTTCCCACTTTTCTGTACATACATTATTTATTTCTGTGACTCTTCTCCAGGTTCCACGTGGTCTTCCCCTTAATCTTTTACCCTGTGGGTTCTAATAAATCAATTTCCTTGTTATTATGCAGCTGCTTGGCTTTCTGAGAGTATGTTCAGTCCATCGCCACTGCCTTCTTCCCACCTCAACTCTGACTGGACTCTCTCTTTTTTTCTAAAATACTTCCTAGTTGGTGACCTTGTCTGTCCATCTGATCATCAGTAGCTTCTTTAGACCCTTTCACTTGTTCAAGCCCAGATTGAATACTGGGCTACAGTGGTCAATATTATTGACATTGCACGGGTCTAGGCTGAGACAAACAGGACAGATTGATGATTTTGATGGTTTCACAGGGAGCCGGGGCGGGAGCTGCTTCTACATTCCATGCATTGACTCACTGAGTGACGTACGTCAAGGTATCGTTTGACACCTCATATTTGCACACCCTCGCGGCTCCAGACCAAGGCATATATTGAGCGGACCTACCCACCCCCTCCCCCATCCCGTTTATTCCCTTGGTTCTCTATAATTTATTTAAAATTTAAAACGAAGCTGCCTTAGGTTGTGTGTGGTGTACACTTGAATGACATTTTTAGTGGGTTAACACCTGAGTTCTGTGTGTAGAGACCTTGTAATTAAGTAGCCTCACAAATACCGCTGTATTGTATCAATGGTTTGAATTAGTTTTGAATTGATACGTGTATATTATATTCTTTTTTCCTCCAGTGTAGCAATGAACTGTGTAGAATGCATATTTGGAAACTCGCCTTCGTTCTTTATCACACGAAGTATATGCTCAATGTCAAGAGATTGGGACCACATCAACCACAAAATTTTCACATTCTGTTGCGGATGACAAGCAAAAGAGATAATTTTAAATCTAGAATAGTTCATCATGGAGGATGCACAGTTCAAACAAAAAGTCAAGACAATTAAAGTTTGCTCAACCAGTGTTGTTTAACAAGTGTACAATACTTTTTAATCTTAATGTTTCCATGTTGTCTTTTTTTACTCACTTTTCAGTCATAGCGCACCCTTAAGGCTATTATAATCTGAGCGACTCGTTTGCTCACGGCAAGCCTCTTCACAACCCATCCACCCCGCGCCACCAAGTCTCCTGCTTGGCCTATTATAGTGATATACACGCTTTTTTACCACAATGAACGACCTTGTTGTGTGGGACTAGGATCTTTGGTTAACCCTAAGTCTACTTACACAATGGGAATCTGACAGACACCAAGAGTGTAGGCTATTATTTTTAGGGACCATGGCTAGTGTCAGGGTTAAGGAGGGTAAGAGTAAGGGTTTCAATGTTGTCAGAATGTATTGTTTTGATCTAGGCTGAGCCTTCCACTTCAGTTTCCGAGCTTTAGCTGGGCTAATTTTGAGTCGCAAATGAGAAAGTGAGGAACAGAAACCACTGAGCCCAATGAAGATCTCATTTTAATTACTGTTTCGGGGGGGGGGG